TTTCCTCTTGGAATAAATAGCTTTACTCAGCTACGCTGAGAAGTAGAAATATGCTCTTAGTAAAACAGAATTTGTTGATATGAATGGGTATTTGTAGACAGGGGTGGAAGGTAGAGGAGAGCTCTTTGCTGATATAAATATTTGATAGCTTGACTTGCTGACATGCCTACTAGTCTTGTACTGCATGGCAAAATAACAGCTCTCTGGACTATGAACAACTATTGTCTGAGAAGCTGGAAATAAACCAGTCAATCAATTTACCACTTGCAAATCTAGTACCATGGTAGCTATTTTCAGGGAACTGCTTTTATAATGGCCTTGTTCTGTTCTGTAGTTTTGCACTATTATTATTTCTTGAGGCAAAGTGTAGATTGTAAAATGCAGAATATAATGCTCTCTGACCTCCAACAACAGCTTGAGAAACTAAAGCAACTTTTTCTTTCCTGATTTCCATTCTGGTTAGAGTTTTCATGGATGCTAGCTCCTGACCTCATTGCTTTTGGGTGCTACTTATTACTGTGGGATGCAGTGATTTTATTTCTTAATGTTATGCAGAGTGTGTGTCTACTTAACTTTCTACGCTAGAAATGTATATTTCTAACATTGCACGGAATTCTACTACTGCTTTAGAAAGATGTGTGTAGAATAGTTTCCTGAAATAATCTTTCAAGGACCAAGTCTTCCCTTCCAGACTGCTGCTGGAATTTCCTTTTCATCGAAATGTTTCCACACATACCTGTATCCACTTCTTCCCCTGGGAGGATAAAAGAATGCTATTAAACATAAGGAAGACTTTTTTTTTTTAATCTGCTGGAATGCTTCATGAGCTTGCTAGCAAACAGTAATTTTTTTTCTTTTCCTTTAACCTTGAGCACTAGAAGTCTATATTATCCCTAGGAGTTCAGAGTACTCCAGATTCTGATTTTCAAGAACAATAAACTAGTTCAAAGACTAGTTACTCACATCCCTCGAAACCTGAACCAACTGAATGAAAACTGACTCCATGTTATGCCAGCCATTTATTGATTTACTGCTCCCCTTGAGATGCATACAAAGTAGTGAAGCCACAGCCTCTTGCTTACTGTGCAGGTACATTGGCCTCCTGGGGCTTGCTGTGCCACAGCCGTCAGAATAAGTCAGTCAGTTGCAGGAAGGTCAGGGAAACATGAAATTAGCAGCCAGCTTCACTGAAAGCCTATCTATTCCAGCAGCTACGTTATGTCTGCAGGATAGGAGTGCTGGAGAGTCTGCTCTAGAAATGGATTTTGGTTGCATCCAGGATTTACAGATTAAAAAGTAGCAGAGGTCTTTGAACTGACAATTAATTACTGGTGGGAAGGAGGTATTTTCTGATGAAAAATGAGTAGATTTCTGCCTGTTTTGCTAGAACAATGTTAGCCTGATATGCTCTTGCAGGTCAGAAACTTTCCATGCTCAAACTGGTGCATGTTCTCTTCTCATTACTGCATTTTGTGTCTGTAAATAAGAGAGCAGTTCTGATTCACTGTGTGGAACTTAGATCTGAAGCTGATGAGCGTATATGAAATTTTTAACATCTGAAGTTCCTGGTTATTCACAACTATCAGCAGATTGAGACTTTCAGTTTGTCACAGCATATGAGTAGTACCATTTTATTTTAATTTGGACTGATGAGTTCAGGATGTTTTCATGATGTTTTTTCACGTTCCATTCACACCTTGATTACATCTTGAATGTTACGAGTAGTGTAGAATCAGTCAACAGAGCACTAATGTGTCATTTCTCAGCTTGAGCTGACCTTGCCTCCACCTCCACATACATTTTCTATAGGATCAGCCCTGATTTCCAGTATTGACGTCCTGGCATCCTGAGAGCATCCACTTGCACACTCAGCCTTATGAACTTCAGCAGCAGCTGAATACTGAAGCTAAGAATCCCACAGTCTGATGCTCACAGGCTGTTGGCAAGCTCTTCTGTTTGAGTTGCTGCAGCCCTGTCTCGTGAATTGGGGCATCGTTCTTGTGGCTAAAAAGGCCAATGGTATTCTGGGGTGCATTAAAAAGAGTGTGGCCAGCAGATCGAGGGAGGCAGTTCTCCCCATCTACTCTGCCCTGCTGAGGCCATGTTTAGACTACTGTGTTCTGTTTTGAGCTCCCCAGTTCAAAAAAGACAGGGATATCCTAGGTGTCCAGTGGAGGGCCACAAAGATGATAATGGGCCTGGAGCGTCTCCTGTATGAGGAAAGACTGAGTAACATGGGTCTGTTCAGCTTAGGGAAAAGAAAATTGAGGGAGGATCTGATAAATGTTTATAAATATCTAAAGGGAGGTGGGAGGCAAATGGGTGAGGCTGCTTTTGGTGGTGTGTAGCAATACGACAAAGAGTAATGGCCTAAAACTTGAATGTAGGAAGTTCCATACTAACATGTGACAGAACTGCTTTATGGTAAGGGTGATGGAGAACTGGAGTAGGCGGCCCAGAGAGGTTGTGGGATCTCTTTCTGTGGAGATATTCAAGACCCATGCGGACGCCAACTTGAGTGACCTATTGTAAGGTATCTGGTTTAGCAGGGGAGCTGAACTCGGGGATCTCTTGAGGTCACTTCCAACCCCTGCAATTCTATGATTCCATGATTTTCTTATCACGTTGTTCCTACAAAATACTCTTATTTGTAGCTGCCTGAGGATACAAGTGACTGTGTGAATGAATATAAGAAATACTATTTAATGCAGTAAAAGAATAGGATAGATGCTATGAAATGTCTATCTGATGCTCAATTTTTTTTAGTTGTATGGAAGCTAACAATCATAGACAACAACAACAATCCATAGAACTGGATCTAGCAACAGGCAGGATTGCCAGTTGCTAGATCCAGTACAATATCAGATTGCCCAGGGCCCCATCCAACCTGGCCTTAAACACCTCCAGGGACTGGGCATCCAAAACCTCTCTGGGCAGCCTGTTCCAGCACCACACTGAGTAAAAAAAGAATTCCCTGTGACATCTAATCTAAACCTTCTTTAGTTTAAAACCATTCCCCCTTATCTTATCCCTGTAAAAAGTTGATTTCCCTCATGTTCATAAACTCCCTTTAAATATTGGAAGGCTGCAATGAGGTCTCCCCACAGCCTTCTCTTTTCCAGGCTGAACAAGCCTGGTTCCTTCAGCCTGTCTTCACAGGGGAGATGCTGCAGCCCTTGGATCATCTTCATGGTCCACATCTGGACCCTCTCCAAAAGATCCACAACTTTCCTGTTCTGGGAGCCCCAGACTTGAAAACAGTATTCCAGCTGGGGCTTCATGAGAGCAGAACAGAGGGGGACAATCACCTCCCTCTTCCTGCTGGGCAGCCTTCTTTTGATGTAACTCAGGACGCTACTGACCTTCCTAGTTGCAGGCACACACTGCTAGCTCATGCTAAATTTTTCTTTGACCAGGAGCCCTAGGTCCTCTTCAGCGGAGCTACTCTCAAGGAGTTCTTCTCCCAGTTTGCATACGTAACTGGGATTACCTTGATCCAAGTACAAAACCTTGTACTTTGCTTTGTTGAACCTCATTAGTTTCAGAAGGGCTCACTTTTTGAGTTTATCAAGATGCCTCTGGATGGCATTCCTTCCTTCTGCTTTGTCAACCACACCACTCAGCTTGGTGTCATCAGCCACCTTGAGGGTGCACTCAGTGCATTCAATCCCATCATCTATGTCATTGGTAATGATGTTGAAGAGTACTGGTCCCAAGACGGACTCCTGAAGAACATCACTCATAATTAGCCTCTGCCTGAACATAGAGCCATTGACAACGACACTCTGACTGTGACCTTTCAACGAATTCTTTATTGACCGAATAGTCCACTCTTCAAATCCATCCCTCTTCCAATTTAGAAATAAGGATATGGTGGGGGACCACATCATAGGCCTTGTAGAAGTCCAGGTGCATGACATCAGTTGCCTTCTGTTTGTCTACCAGTGGTGTCATTCTGTCATAAAGGCCACCAGATTGTTTAGGCACAACCTTCCCTTGGTGAAGCCATGTTGGCTGTCTCAGATCACCACTTATCCCTCATGTACCTTAACATGTCTTCCAAAAGGATCTGTTCCATGATCTTCCCAGGCACAGAGGTGATGTCCACCAGCCTGTAGTTCCCTGGGTCCTCCTTCCTCCACTTTCTGTAGATGGGAGTGATGTTTTCCTTTTTCCAGTCCCTGGGAACTTCATCTGACAGCAAGTGCCTTAATAAAAGTTAAAATACTTATAAGAAAACTTCAGCAGCATGTTTTTATTTAAAATTAAAAAGTTTCAAGCTTTTTTAATGCAAAACTAAAAGCCTAGTGAAAACAAAATAAAACTTTGTTAATAGTTCAGCTTTGTGCAATTTTACAATTTCTGTTAATCTGTTTAAAGTTTTCTTCTTTCACAGAATAGATTACTATATTGAATAGATTACTAAATTTTGATTATTTTGAGGTAAGAAATTTTTTTGTTAAAAAAGTATTCCATACTTTTTGCTGGAAGAGTATTTAAAACTCGTCCTGCAGTTGGAATAAAATTGAAATTACAGTAAATTCTCATTTTAATTTTTGGAAGTTGTTAGTTCCTCAAAAGGAATAACTGGAATCAAATATCACATTTTTATTTCAGCCAAAACTACAGTTAAAACCATTGCCATATTTTTCATGAAAAATAATTGAGTTAGAATCACAGTTTATGACTGTTTGGCAGGAAACGTAAGAAAGTTGCTATTTCAGTAGTTAGAAAAGGTAAAAAGAACATTTTGTATGAAACTCTTAGAGGGAAATCTGAAACTAATGAAAATTTCTCTTATTGCATTATCTTTCCATCTTTCTCTGGTTTGGCTGTTTTTTGTTTTGTTTTTTAACTGCAGCATCTCAGACTGTTTGCAAAAGACCTGGCAGGCAGGAATTGCTCAGCTTATAAGAACCCCAGAAAGAGAGAAAGCAAAAAGGTGTGATCTTAAAAACGTGAATTAACGTTCTTTCTTTTCCCCTTTTACCTTGATAGTGTAGGAGAAGAATGTTAACCACATGGCCTTAGCACCATATTCTGCTTTCTGATCGCTTTCATTAAAGAAAAATCCCTCTTTGAGAGAGGAAGGAAGACTGTGGAAAATATAGAACGTCACACCCCATCTTAAAAAAGGTAAGGGAACATTTTTCTGCTGATCCTTTAGTGCTGTTTTTTTTTTCCCCCAGCAGATTTTGTGCTGATCACTGTAAATGATGTCTTCAGTTAACATTAAGTTGAAGTGAAAATGCAGATAACTGAATACTGAAGTTTGTATTTTAATCTCTGTACTCTAACCTATACAACAGAAAAAAACGTTATCATAATAAAGGAAGGATGTAATGTATGTGTTACTGTACTATGAAATATTCTGTGTGTGCTTTTTGCCCATTTTTTTAATGGGAAAACAAACAAACACCCACTGCACACAACAGCAAATATTTAATTTCAATCACTGAAGTCATGCAAAGATATACATAGTCTCCAATCTACTAAGCAGCTCTCATTTTGCCAGGAGAGATTTTTTGGGAAATACAGCATGTTTGCAGAATGCTACCACTGGGAATTAGTGCATTTAGGCTTTTACCAGGACAGATCTGTACTATTTTAATTTTTGCAGGGTTTCTGAATGTTTGGTTATTTGTGAAATATTTACAACTCAGCTTCCTTAGATGCTTCAGTTCTATTGAGTACTGGAAGATGCTGAAAACATACTGAATTGTGCTTGTTTCCTCTGAAAGTGGAATGACAGCAGCAAAGGGTTTTGTCCATTCAGTCCATTATTTTATTTTATTGTCATTATTATTATTATTATTATTATCATCATCATCATCATCATAATCATCATCATTATTATTATCTTCATTATCATTATTATTATCATCATTATCATAATTATTATTATTTTTGTTTTATTATTTGATTTTTATTTATTATTATTATTATTATTTTTTTTTTTCTGGGAAGAATTTTGAAATTGTGAATGACAGGTAATGACTTCTTCCTAGAGCATTCAATTTGGAATGTGGGCAAACATATTCATCAGTGAGCTTCATCTGTGAAGTCAGTGTGAAGGTAAGTACAAAAGCTATCATGAACTTACTCTACCTGTAGAGGCAGCTCCAGTCAAAATTTGGTTGCAGGGCTCTGTCTAGCATTCAGAATGTATGTTCATGCACTCTGCATTTCTGTAAAACTGGGCTTGGTGTTTATCTAATGTAGAGATGCTGTATTTGCTTTTTTTTTTTTACAAAAAATGTTGACTCTGTTGTTTGCAGTTACTCTTGTTACTTGGAAAATCTGTCCTGTCTAACTAATATTGCTATATAAATTGAAAAAGATTCTTGTCCTGACTTACTTGTGAATGTTATGTGAAAATGTGTGTTTGACTGGTGTGGTATGTGGAAAGAGAATGAATGATAGGCAGATTTCATTGGCAGCTTTCCTTAAATGGTCAGCTGTTTTCTGTTAATGTAACACAGGTAGGGTATTTTCTTACTTTTTCAAAACAGGAAGATGCAAATGTGCTCCTCTGTCAGGGCAGGATGCTTCCTGCCTGCTCTCTCTAACCTCATCATGTTTGCATGTCAGTTGTGTCTAAGGAGGACAGGTTCTGAGCTACCTTCTGTTCCTTTTGGATAGACTTAATTTATGCATGCAATACATGTAGTTCTCAAAAAGCACATTTTTTCACTTTGCTAAGCCTTGGTACAATACACATTGCTTAACAAATGAGTATTTGAAGAGCAGTATGAGAGTGGTCAGTTATAGTACCATCTTCAGATCGGAATGAATATGATAATATGATTTTTTTAAATTAAGTATGTAAGACATACATTTCTGTATAGGATTTGCGCATATTTCTTATTCCAAGACAAGTAAAGCTAGCTTTTTTTTCCCCATAGTCCATCAGCATTCTTTCATAACCTACACCCACATGTTCTGTGTTAGAATATTCTTTTTTGTCACCTGCATCCACCTCTGGCATTGTGGGCCCACATGATGAAATAGGAGGCATTACTTTTGAAGCAGCCCTTGTACATACTTTGTCATTAGCTCCTTCTGTCATTTCATATTTTCTAGGTTAAAATGTTAATCTTCAGACTCATATTTATTGGTAATTCTCTCCTGGCTCTCCAAAGGCTTCAGTTTTTCTTCAAGATAGTAGTAGTAGGAGCTATTGGGAATAGGTGAACGGTTGGACTGGGTGATCTTTTAGGTCTTTTCCAACCTTGGTGATTCTATGATTCTATGATTCTAAGATGTGGCTTTTTTGTTTTCTTCCTTCAAATAATTAGGAGGGTAGAAAAACCAATGTTTTTTGTTTTTTGTTTTTGTTTTTTTGTTTTTGTTTTTTTTTTTTTTTGTTCTATTAAATTTTCTGATTTCACTTGTATCATTCAAAGCCATTTTTCTTTCATTTGTTCTGTTAATTTGTTTTCTGTATTTTGCATTCTTCATTCTTCTTGCTTATCCAATAAAGATTTCTTTCTTACAGTAACTGATGACTGTGGTTGCAATCAACTGTGGACTTTAAGTCACTTCAGTGGAAGTACAAACGACAAGGATTTAATTAACTGAATCACTATGCGTTAATCAGCTGTGAAAATAATTTATTTCCTCATTTTAACAAAGAGGTCCTACGAAGAAGACAGACACCTTGGTATAGTCAGCATAATGTTGTAGCATTTCTTCAGGATTCATTTTCTCTATCTCTAGACTTACAATTGCAATGAATTTGAATGGTAATTGGAACAAGCTTCAATTTGAAAAACTATGAAATGTGAATGAATTGGTTGTCTTCTCAAATTTAATATCACAAGGTAGATTCCCACGCGAGATCCCTGTGGCGCTCCAGCTTCCATCTGAGTGAATTTTTCAGTTGAAATGCAGCTCAGAGACTTGCATGACTTTTGTAGAGCTGTCCATGCATCCTTTGCTATTTTTACTTTGTTTCACTGCACACTGTTGTTCTTCCTAGAGATTTGCACTGTCCTGAACTGGCAGTAGGCAGAGGTGTCTTCAAGGCAAGTTCATTCTTCAGTTCCACTGTCTGTAAGCATTTAAGCAGTAAGGGCAGCTGAACTCTCCTAGTATGGCTGGTTAAGGTTTTTCATTGAAGGGTCCTGCTCAGATTGCTAATTTTTTGTTGATGTAATTGAGGGTAAATCTGTATTATAGCACTATTTTGAATCGTAATCTATTTTTTCCCATGGAACATGTGTTATTGTGTAAAGAAAGATTTATTGCTCGTAAAGGAATGAATCTGGAGATGACATGAAAGTAAGAAGTGTTCAGTCCTCAGGCAAATTTCACTAGAAAGTTTCTCAGGATGTTTTTAAGCTGTTATTTTGGTTTGACTATATATTTTTCAGAAGGATAGTGCCGTAATTCTTAATGATTTTTTTTTTCTGTTAGATCTGTTGTAATCTACTATTATTATTATATATTCCTATATAATATAGACAGTAAAAGTGTCTGTAATTGAGCATGTTAATATAGTGGTTTATTCCTTGATGAAACTTGAAGTATACAAAAACACCCAACTAGAGGATGTAATATGAAGAAAATAATTTTCTTTTAAAAAGGTTTCCTTTCAGTTCTACAAGGTCTAGGTAGTTAATGCAGAGTTTTATACTGTAATGCTCTTCAACACTATTACACTTTAATTCAGTATTTGTGTACAGCACTGTTTTTATTTGTTGTGCTAAATAGAAATTCTGTATAGACAGTTTAAAATATTTCTTATAAATAATATTACATATTATATAAATATATAACACTGTTAGCTGTTCCCATTAGTGGTCAAAGGAAGAAATGCAGACAGGTGGAAAATGTACAGTGTGGCTTTCTTATTGCAAAACTGTGCTTCACTGAGGTGCAACTCATTAGTCCTGCACAACTGCAATCTTTATTTATTAAAGATTTGATCATGTAACAACTCCTGTACCCTCACAATTTTACTAATGCTGCCTAACTCCTAAGAAGCCTAAAATGTAAGGCATTTTATTGCAAGAACATTGATTTAAAAATAAGAAAAGCTTAAACTCTTGCTTGATTTCATGAACTCAGTGATTATGCAAATGAATCACAGAATGGCCAGGGTTGGAAAGGACCTCAAGGATCATGAATCTCCAACCCCCCTACCACATGCAGGGCCACCAACCTCCACATTTAATACCAGACAAGGCTGCCCAGGGCCCCATCCAATCTGGCCTTAAATCAGTTGTGCTGTACTTATTCTTTCAGTAACATTTAAAAAAAGACAAACAAAACAAAAAATAACATATGAAAGCATGGCTACAGATGAAGGGGATACTGACTAAAATGTTGACCCTGAGATAATGGGTATTGATGATTCAAGTACTGTAAAAAATTATGCGGTGTTTTGGTTGAAAATTAAAGAGACAGAATACATTGTCATTTTATTTACAGAAGAAACCAGTTTCTCCCTTATAAATTATCACAAATAATCTGTTTCTGCCTGGGTCTGAAAGTCATAGAGCTGACCAGGCTGGTCCTGCAAATTCTTCTTAATCCAGATAACTCTCCCAATGTCTTTCTTAGACTATTTGGAGTATATTTGATTAACCTATCAAGTTCCAAGTTCTTCTAAAGGAAATCTGAGTTATAACTTTTTTAATAGCAGGATTTGAGTTAGTAATGTGTCCCTTGCTTTCCTTTCTTGAAAAGATTGTCACAGCAGAATAAAAGAGCTACAGCTTATTAACTTCTAATTCGCATTAAGTACATATGAGAAATTACATAGGTTTTGTGATATCTTTACAGAGTTGTAAATGGAAGAAAATAGTTTATTTGGTTGAGAGTATGAATTTGAATGAATGAAGGAATACTGAACATTCTTGGGGAAATTTTAATTTGAAAAAAATAAAATTAAAAATACCTAAAAGGATTGAAATGCCTTTTAATCTGCAAAGAAATCTGATCTGTGTTGGGCATTAGTTACAAAAGCAGAAATTAACAGTGCTTTCTGTGGCTTTGAAGTGTTTGTAATCTATGTCATCTAATTAACAGTTCGGTGGTTCAGTAAAGACCGTTCCTACCAATAATGTTTATCCTATTAGTGCAAAAGGACAGAGTCAAGCTATTGACCTTTCTTATGAGTGTCTGGCTCTTCTGGCTACAGCAGAGTGTATATATAGTGAATGATTTTTTTTTTTTCCCCCAAAAATCATCTTATTTGTGTTAAAAGGGATGGTTGATAATTCTGAAATGGAAGCAGGGGATTTTTAGATACCTGCAATAAATGACAGTTACAGTTTCAAGAAGCCTGAAATAATATGTAATAGCAAATGTTAAGAGTAGAAATACTGCTGGAAGTTACTCCTTTAAATGTCATCATATGGGCTTATGAACTTCCTGCCTTCTGCTAATTTCATGACCTTGACTTTCACAAATCCCCAGTTCCACAAGGCAGTGATATTAATCTTTATTTGGAATTCATGTCTAACTAATCGTATTTGAATCCCCCCGCCTCCTTATTTTTCTCCTCTACCAGCTTTTTGTTCTTTGTCAGTTTGCTATAAAATCCCAGAGTGGATGAGTCAGTGATTCCAATCTGTTCCTACTTAGAAACCAATTCCCTTTTAGGGATAGCAGTGTCATGCTTTAACAGTAGGCGGACGTGCTTTCTGAGAGATTTTGACACTTAGAACTTTCTTTTATTAGATATTGACTGCTTCACTTTTCATTTCAGAAAAGCATGGTCTCTGGTGTACTTTATTTTTACATTGCCTTTGCCCCCCAAAATCCCACTCCTCTTATTTTTTTTTGACTGTACATCTATTACCAATCCCACAGAGGTCCAACCAGGCTTAATCTTATGCAGATCCCTCAGTTTTCTTTCCTCTTCCTTTCTTGTCTCCTTGTCAGTTGTTCATGCTCCGACATGTGAATATCTACCTTGTTCCTTCCTGCCTCCCACCACTGTTTTCCTCTATACTCCCATGAATTCCTGACACTGGCACTGCTGGACCTTATGGCACTGCATTGCTACTTTTAGGTAGCTTGACAGTCTTCTAAGAAGCTAATACCGTATCTCTTCCTTGCTAAGT